GCACAAAAAGAAATTTGTTTTGAACTGTGCCAAATAACGAAAATAGATGAAGTTACAGTAACATTCCAATATCATCCAATAGCTTTTTTTTCTCCATATTCTCTTTTGAAATTGATCGGATCGTATTTATCTTTGAGACTCGTATGCCCACAAATATGGTAAATCGAATTATTAGTAAAAACAAACTTCCTAAAAACTTCTCCTCTGACTTACAAAAACTAAATTGAAAAAAAAATTAGAAGAGTGAAGAAAAAATAAAAAAAGAAAGAAAGACAGTAAATCAATATGAAAGTTGTAAAAAAAATCTAAAAAATGAACAAATAAGAAAATCATATTCAGATCGACAGTAAAAACTAATAGAAAAACCTTGTCTCTGATAAAGTTAGTTGAAAACATCAACTGCAAAGTAATCGTCATACAAGAAGATACTGAAATTTTCTGAACCTGGCCAAAAAGTGATTTAAATATTCTAATAAGGAACTGTCTAACATGCAAATTGCAAAATGGAGATACTAAAATCAAACAAGTTAGATATTTGGGAAGTGTATGAACAGAGAACGAAAAGTGTGACACGGAAATCCGAAGGCGCATTGGGATAGCGAAAGCTAAGCAAGGTATTAAGAAACAGAAAAATACAATTAAAACAAAGAAAAGGGTACTGAATTATTACATAATGTCAGTCTTCCAATATAGCAGAGAATGCTGGACAATCTCGTCACTGATGAAGAATAGACTTGAAGTAACAAAAATCTGGTTCTACAGAAAGATGCTGGAAATACCATCGACCGAACATGTGGGCAACGGCGAAGTTTTAAAGAAAATAGAAACAAAAAGGGAAAACTGATACTCACAGGACAGATTGAAGGTAAGAGAGACAGAGAAAAGCAACGCTCAACTTACCTGGCGAGCTTGAATGAATGGGTAGCGGTAGTGAAAGAACACGATATGTATAAGAAGAATCACTGATGGTTCTCACTGAAGATCAAATCTCTTCGTGAATGGTTTCTGTTTTTCTGATTTCCACTTCTTCCGACCCATTTACAAAATTCTTCAAAGTGGGTCGTATTAATTTTCAGTATTGATACGTCTTCCTCCTCTTCATTTAAATCTTTTATAGGAGACAGTGTAGAGGGCCATGATCGCCTACGTCCAGAAGGGACACGGCACATAAAAAAGAAGAATAGGAGCCTGTCATCATTAAAAAACGGTCTTAAAATCTCTTTTAAACAGTGGAACAGTTAAAGATACGAGCAATGAGTTAGAAGATTCAAACCATGGCAGTGTTAAAGTCAATCGATAATGATAAAAAAACTGCTGGATATGTGCGTAGACTCGCTGTAACTCATTCTCGAATAATAATCACTACAATAAACCTTTGACGTAAATATAACAACAACACTAAACAGCAACAACATTCGCAGACCCCTATTATTATTATTGTAATAATAAGAAGAATAATCATAGGGGTTTGAGAATGTTGCAGATCGGGAATGTGATAGTTATGCCATTCTTTATCGGGGCACTGGGAACAGTCCCAAAATGACTAGGAGATAAGCTGAGGAAACCGAAAATCAAAACAAAGAAGACAGCACTACTGAAAACAGAATACTAAGAAGAATGCTGGGGTGTCGAGTAAACTTGCTGTCACATGATCTCCTGTGTAAACCACTAATGAGAACACTGAATGACTGAATACTAGTACTTCTACTATTACTAATAATGATAATGAGTGAAAAGAGCACTACGCAATATATATATATATATATATATATATATATATATATATATATATATATATATATATATATATATATATATATATATCAGACGCTGGGGTACAAATATACAAGGCCCAACATGACCATCATGATATCCAGTCTGATAAGGGTATACCAGACACATGAAGCACAGCCAAATATGCGTGTTACGTTGAAAGTTATTTTATAAATATGATGGGGTCAAGTTAGAAATAGCTTCATATTAGGTAACCCAGTCTGCTCAGACAGACTCTCATTGAGGGTTTTGACAAGTGTGAAGATATGACTTCCAAGTCGTTTTGGTTGCCCCCCCCCAAAAAAAAACCCAAACAAACTTAGCCATGATGCCCAACTCATTATTATGATTATTAATCACGCATGTTCATTTCAAGCGTCTGGTGACGCTTGTTGGAGATCTAGTGACAACAGATCTTCTTAAATCTCCTATCTTAGCTATCGATAACAGCGTTACCATAATCCGAAGTGAATGTCCATCGATAACAGCGTTACCATAATCCACAGTAAACGTTATATTGTTCGATACCATCAAGAAGTTTACGTACTTCCATATCCTTGAGAACCGTTAAATGTTTTGCACCACCAAGAACGTTACATTGTTGAACACAACTAAGACTGTTACATTTTCCATACCCACTAAAAACGTTAAATTAATCGATACCACGAAGAATGTTACATTATTTGGTACCACCAAGAATGTTACATTGTTCGATACCACTGAGAACAGTTAGATTGCTTGATATCGTTACATCATTTAATACCAACGAAAACCTTACATTGTTTTATACCACTGAAAAAATTGTATTGTTCGATACCACTGACAACGTTACATTGTTCGATGTAACTATGATCGTTACAATTTTAGACCGCAACGAGAACGTTTCATTGTACAATACCACCGAGAATGCGACATTGTTCTATACCACTGTCAGATTGGCAGTGGTATTCAATATCGTCTAGGAAGTTATATTGCTCACTGCAACCGAAACCATTACATTGATCGATACCATCGAGAACGTCACACGCTTCGATACCACCGACAATGTTATCTTGCTTGATACCAACGATAAATTTGCATTGTTCGATAACACCGATTATTGTACATTGTTATATTCCACCAAGAACACTACATTATTCGATTTCATACTGTGGATTTTTTTTATCCTGCATTATTTCATATTGCTCTAAACGTTATATTCGAGTACACGTAATTGAGTAAATAAGTCGTTTTTATTTTAATTAATGCGTTTGCCGATAGTCATTTCTTTTTTTAAGACTTTCGGTCTCTGGATCAGTAGACAGCAATTTCACTATTTTTAACAGTGTTGTCTATTCTCACAAGTGTACCAACTAAATATAAGAAATAGATTTATAAGTATAAGTACTCAGGAAGAAAATAATATAAAATAAAAATGAACAAAACACCTAATTTGAAAAATTAAATAAAAAAAATTGACCAAACATGTTTGAGAGAATTATTGCTGCCGAAATACACCTTATAAATACACACACACACACACACACACACACACACATATATATATATATACATACATACATACATACATACATACATACATACATACATACATACACACATACATACATAATATTTTATTTTTATGTAATTTTATATGTATTATATATATTTTTTCATATTTTATACCTCTGCAATTTTTATAGATCTGCCATTCATAATAATAATAATAATAACAATTATTATTATTATTATTATTATTATTATTATTATCATTCTTCTTATTATTATTGATTCAATCTGGTTTGGTTCAGTACAAAAAGTTGTTAGCCTGAAGGCGATTGTAGGTCAGTAAGCACACATCGTTTCCTCGTTTTTATAAATAATACCTCCGAGTACGATTTTATTTATCTTAAACACAAACCGACACATATGTCTCTGCCGATGAAATAGAAATCAATCTTTGTATTCTAAAAGACTTTAACTGGGTATTTTATTTATTATTTAAAAATATGTCAGTTTAGCGACTGAATATTTTCATAAGCAAACTTTCAAAGCAGCCATTTTATGACGAGCATGGCGGAATAATGAGAGTGATGTTGAGGATAATGATGATCGGTTAAAATATTAATTATTTTTAACCGATTATTATTATGATGATTATTAATAATACAATACTTAGAGAAGAGAGCGATTTAAAAAAAAGTAAAGAAAAAACACAATGTTTAACAATATTTTGACAGTGTGTCTCTCTTCTTCAAGATAAGTTTAAAAACTGCATACAAGTATAAAATATTTAAAAAATACAAATCTTTGTGCAAACGTCGCTTGTTTTGAGAAAAATGACTGTATTGGTAATCAACGCGACAAAGCCAATGAAACTAAAATAATTTTATTATTTATTATTATTAAGAAGAAGAAGAAGAATGAGAATCATTAGCGATTGTGTAATGTTTGCACAGAAAAGATACAAGCGCCGCCATGATAAATTGGTTTTCTTATCTGCATTGGTGATTATGTAGGAAGTATAGAATTAAAGCCAAACAGAATCGTTACCGTTAGAGAAGATAACCGAAAACGACCATACTTGTAGAATGTGATACGTACCTCCAGCTGAAAAAAAAACGATTAGAAATGATAGAAGCCCTTATTATAAAAATAAGAAACCAACCCATGAGAATATCAGTTTTGAACACGACCACGATGTCCTGGTCGTATTCAGAAATTAATAATATGTCTACTTTCAGCAATTTTTATACTGTCTACAATAGCATTTACACACCCTTTGTATAGTAGATTAAAAAAAACTTTAAAGATGGCTAATAGCTTAGCCGAAAGTACTCGAAATCACCAAACCTTCGGACAAGAGAACACTTGTATGCATAAAAGAAAAATATAATGAAAACTAAACAAAAGTAACGTCAGACTTGTTTAACAAAACGTGTATTAAAGGTGGATTGCTACCCAAATAATTATCAACGTAGCAAGAAACTATCGGAGTTCCTGATTGATTGGTTTACTATTGCTTATCAGAACTTTGCAGGTTATTTAAAACCAGAATATATTTTTAGAATGTAAGAAATCTTTTTAGATAATAATGTAGAATAAAGGGCGAAGAGGTGGAGTCATGCCTTTCCCCAAAATATTTGCGAGTAAATCAATATAACGAACCCAACTGGAATTGAAACGCGGCTCTCTGATTAAACAATTCCGAGCCATTATCCACCGTACCACCTGCACAACCAATCTTACAGCAGGTGGTATTCCCAAGTGGTCACCCATCGAGGTATTGACCAGGCTCACCGCTGCTTAGCTTCAGTGATCGTACGGGAATGTTTCAACATTGATTGAACATTGATTGTACCGAAACCAATGTTTTAATGTGATGGAGTCCCTGAGCGCCGTTTGGTATTTACTAATCAATATATATATATATATATATATATATATATATATATATATGTGTGTGTGTGTGTGTGTGTGTGTGTGTGTGATGAGGATATATATATATATATATATATATATATATACATACAAACACATATATATGAGAGAGCGAGTGAGATAGTGTGTATGAGAGAGGGGGGAGAAAGAGAGAGAGAGAAAAAGCTATATACTGATAAACCAGATAAACATAGGAGAAGAGAGACAAGAGAAGGACGGAAGGAGACACATCGAAGAAAAACGTGATAAACATTTTTTTTATTATCTCTGAACTGACTTCGGAACCTAAGCAATTTAATCACAATCACAATCGTCAAATATTCTAAATCCTAGTTTATTTCGATCTTTCTAAAATTCTTCATCGTCTTTTCCTCTGGGAAGCTTCAAGTGTCATTCATTTTTTTTCTATTACTTTAGAATGACAGTATATTCGGCGCTAAAAAAAACCCTCAGAAGATCTGTCTGTAACAATTGTATAAATCGTTCAATGTTTCTCAGTTTTGTATCATTTTTCGTGACTTCGAAATAAAATAAATAATTTGTGTGAAAAAGAAATGTAACATGAAAAATGCACAGAAAAGTAAAAAGAAAACAGAAGTTTGAAGCTTGATGAAACTGAAAACTAACTATGAATCCGAAATTCAAATTTCTTAAAAAATTGAATGTAGTGATTCATCACTATCCCCGTGTTCAAACTGTAAAACATTCGTTCGTGATCTAAGAGTCTATGGCATACACTGATTGGCCGTTAGAATGCCGAGTCACCAGAAGAAGAACCAATAAAAAAAAAGATAAAATATTATTTTAGGCTATTTGGAATAAGATCTAGAATTCAGAACGGTTAGTTCAGCCCTGGTTAAAAGAATGATAACAATCTAAACTGTGTTGATGGGTGGTCAAATAATCTACATTAGAAGGCGTGTGCCCCCCCCCACACCACTCAGGCTTTATTGTGAGTCGTATGTTCTTTCTGAATGATCTCCCTGATGTAATCAGTTCCCAACAATGTATTTATGCAGATGACAATACCATTTACTCCTTGTCTTAATAGCAAATCTGTCAGATCTGACAAAGTAAACCTGGCATCTGCTCTTGAAAAGAACTTCCAATCAGTGATTAATTGGCACAGGAAATGGCTTATAAATCATAACGCCTCCAAAACAAAACTGCTCTCATATAACCACCATAGAGAATGTTCTCTGCCTGCTATCAGCATGGCTGTCGCTAGACTCCTGAGGAACAACACACTGAGACTTCTTGGCCTTACGTTTTCAAATGACTTAAAGTGGAACGACTATATCGAATCAGTAGCGGCATCTATGACAAGGAAAGCCGAGTCACTGTGTCGGGCCAGGAAATTTTCTCCCGTCAGAGCCTATCTTGCAAAATTACAAATGTACCATTTGTCTGTGCATGGAATACTGTTGCTATATCTGGTCTGGTGCCCATGCTGTTCATCTCGAGGTTCTTGAGAAAATCCAAAGAAAGATCTGTGATATAATCGATCCTGAGTTGACTCCTCGACATCAGTCACTTTCTCACCGACGTGGCATGGATTCTTTCTGATTTTTCTACAAATATTTTCATGGCAACTGCTCTGACGAGAATTTTCCCCCTCGTGCCCCATCTACATGAATTTAAGCGTTCTACTAGATTGGCATTTAGGTCCCAAATTTTTACTGTTGAGATAGTTAAGTGAAGCCGCCACTTCTACTCTTTTCTCGCATTTCCCGTCTGTGGGACTCCATTCCGTTTACTTTCTTCTCTGATAAATACAAACTTCAAAAATTTAAATGGAATGTCAATCGCCATTTTTGTCTACTTGAATCCCGTTCATCTTTTATCCTTTTCTCACCCCCCCACCCCATACCCCCATGCTTTTCTCTCACTTTCACCCTCTGTAACCCCCTGCGTACTGACGCATTCCCCCATGCTTGGGGTGAAATGATTAAAAAATCACAAGGGAAAAAGTTGTATATTTTGGCCAAAGGGTGTATGTTTTTAGCTCAACTCTTTTGAAAACCAGCACCAGTTTACTGCACGTCAAGGCAAAATATACTGGCTGGTCTCAAGTCTGACTATCGATAAGAGTCGAAAGTTATTAAAACATGAGTCGATTTTAAAGATATTTACATCCAACAAGCACTTACGTAGTTGGTTGAGCGATGGTTATCAAAGAGCAGTACAGGTTAAACCCCAGCCTCGAATATACTATAGTGCAGTCTTGTTCAAAATAACTCCCAATGTACGACTGTGGTTGTCTATTTTATACTTCGGGGTATAAAATAGACTAATCCTCACTGGGCCAGTTTTAACCCCTTTTATTAGTTGTATGAATTAAGTACTCTTTCTTAACTACAATTCTTGTCTTTAATCGCTCCCAGTTCGGCGCTAAACCAAATTCAGTTCTTAAAAGAGCAAAAATTAAAATATGTCACCTATCTCCATAGACAGTGAAGAGGAATTAAACGAAGTAGTTCTTCATTCTTGTTCCTCAAAGACTTCCTGAAAATGTCCACTTTTGTTTTCTTTTTTTAAGCGGTGTGGTTGTACATAAATCGGTGGTTCTCTATCTATTTTTTACCCTTGAACCATTTTTACTCTTATTTTTGTGGGGGTGAACCCCCATAACCATTCGATAAAAAAAAAACTTATTTTTTTACTAATAGATAAGTTTAGTAATTGTGTTATAAAAATGGTAAATGTACATGTTTTATTTTGAAGTAAAACTAATTTAATATAGACGGTAACTTACATCGCTTGATCTCGTTTTTTTAGCTTTTTTTTTTGAGTTGTTTTTCGATTTTTAGTATTTTAATATGGCGTAGATTACTGTAGAAATTCCAGTTCCTAGTTGTAACGACTGTTCCGAAGTGAAATTGCTTTATGGACCACTAAAATATTACTGTGGACCCCAATTTGCTATTTTTTGTGTGGACTCCCAGTAATGTTACATGAACCCGCAGGGTCAATATAGACCCCAGTTGAGAACGCCTGATCTAAATGATCGCTATTTGCATGGAATGTGTTTAGACGAGCTACGTTCGTTTCACCAGTTCTTACCTTCATGGTTAAGATCTACCATGCCATGTACATTGTAACGAACCACCTTCAATCTGGTCCTTTCATTAAAGAATTTTTTCCACATCAAGGCGTTTTGAAACGATCGAAAACGGTAATAATCGGTTGGTACAAAGTCAGATGAATATGTGGTATAGAACAGACCAACAAAGTTTCAAAAAATATTTCTTGCGTTATTCTTACTGGCGGTGAACTTGCAATGTCATGGAAAAAAATGCCATTTTTCCCCTTGGACGAGCGCAGAGCCCTTTTTCTAGAAAATGCTTATGAATACGTTACAGCTGTTTGCCATATTTAGTGCTTCATTGAGTTTTAAGAAATTAAAATGACTAATATCCAACGATCCAAGCACACGCATAACATTACTTTTCTTCTGTGGAGTTCAACATTTGGGTCAGGTTTATCACAGTCAATCCACTTCCTTTTGTGTCGAACATTGTTGTGTGTAACCCATTTTCCATCACCTGTTATGATATGTTTAAGGAACAGCGAGCTTGGATGTTACATTCGTCCTTACAATTTGTTCCCCAAAACGTAAATCATTTATGACACAACCTAATAACGTAAATCCTTTTGGGGCATCAAATTTTGTAGATGACTTATTTTATACGAACTTTTTTCAATCTTTTACCTAGCAAAAAGTTTCGAAATAATTTTCCTTTCTCGGATAACTCCTATAGTCTACAATATATAATTCTGTATTTTAATCCTCGCAGAATTCCTAATGACCTTTCGTAACCTTTGGGAATAATGACGAAATGGTATGGCATGTTCTCTTATTCCATTTCTCATTGTCAAACTTGCTGGGCATGTGCGTGCAGGTGTCTCTACTTACATACCCTTATCTATCTTATCTATTTTCCCTTTATCACTTACGACAGAATATATTCTAAGTTCGGATAAGGTCAGCGAAGGGCAAAAAAAAAAAAAAAAATGGCGGAGAAAAAGAGAGTGGCAGTACGCATGCGCACAGAAAGATATTTGTTACGCTGATAAATAAGAGTGCTTCTTGTTACTACATTCAGTTTACCGATTGTAAATCAAAAGAAACTACCTATTTTCTGTCAATATAATTTGCATATGTTTTGTTTCGGGTTTCAAACAGGAGCTATTTTGGCGAACAAGGATTTATGGACACCAGCTGTCTTAAATCCATTGTTATATTAGAAAACATGGCCATCTCAGCAAAACGTGCGGAGTGATATTTGAAGCCAAATTTTGTGAGAAATGTATTTTTGAAAATAGTGGGAAATATATACACTGACGTGCTAAAAGTCATAGGAGGCAGTATGTAAATGTAATGGTAAGTAGCACCGCCATAGTTGAACGTCATCGAAATACTGACCTATAGAAATTGTGCTTTGACAGGGTGGGCTCCGATTAGGCGGCGAGAATTATCGGTGTTTGAACAGGTCGTGATTGGAGGTGGGGGCTGACAGATGGGATATTCCATTTTTGAAATTGGTGTACCTCACTTAGGCTCGTAAATTAGCTGAAGTACTAACAATTTGTAGCGTTGTTCTGTTGTACTTCTCGGCAAGGGTACATTTCTTTATCCTGGGAAACCACCTTTAAACCAGGCATGCTTTACCGTTCGGCTAAGGAGCTCTCTAGAGCAAAGCGAGGCTAAATTCAACCTTTTTATGTACATGTCTCTTGTTGGGAACGAAAACACACGTAAGTAAATCAAATTCCGACATTATCTTTAATATGACTTTCTATGTCGAAGCCGGTGGACATTTTCTTGCTATTTGAAAAAACGGTGATGTTTATTCAGACACGTGTATACTTAGCCATTATCAAGGATG